ATGTAAAACTAAATAAAATTTTGCCCCAAATTTGCCAATCTAAAATGTGTACATTTGTAAAGGGGAAGTGGAAACAATTATGCACCTTATGATAAGGTGTCCTCTTGTTCAGTTGTTTTGGAAGGCATTTTCTGAGCGATGGGGAAAACATATTGGGTTGAGAAATACTTTATCTGATGAAACAATTCTGCTGGGAGACCCACATGAGTCATTGTTGCTTATTTTGTTGTTATTGGTAACTAAGCGTTTTATTTATATCTACAAATGTAAAGGAAAAATTCCACATTTCAAACATCTTAAACCATTTGTTCAAAATATTCAGAACACTGAATATGTTATTGCCAACAAAAAAGGGAAATTAAATGCACATATTAAGAAATGGGGTAAATTTCTGACTGTTTTGACCATGTAAAGGTATTTCATATGAGATTTATGTGAAACTGAAATGTATCTTTTAAGAGACTTGAATGACTCAATAAAAAAATATCTTAAATATAAAAAAAAACTTGCTTTTACCCAACACTGTATGATTTGTGTTACCTGATATTTTCTTTCATAGTCAGCTTCACACTCAGCAGTGAAAACAAATAGTACAGGTACATATTGGTCACTTGCCATGGCATTCAGTGTTGGGAATATGGCATTCAGCTCTTTAAAATATGTTAATAAACTTTTTTTCTCTTTTTGGCAGATATTATTGGTATCCAGTAAAAAGTTTGGGGATCGCTGGTTAGTGCCAGGTGGTGGTTTAGAACCGCTTGAACACCCCAGTGTGGCTGCCATGAGAGAAGCTGTTGAAGAGGTATGATACCTTTATTGTTCCCACTTAATGCATAGGATAGATACATCACATTGGTTTCTCCTTCCCTATTGTCAGTCTTACATTACATTTTACATTTTATTTACCTGCAAATTAAGAGGAGGTCAAAGTGTGGTTTCTGTCTTAAGAACTGTCCCTTTTTTGTTTGAATTTTTTTTTTCATGTTGTGATTTAGATTTGATTTGATTTCTATAATGTAATTCATATAAAATCCACTTTATTTCTTTGCATCATCCATAATTTTGATGACTGTTTAAAACCTCATATATCATTTGCACCTTCCATGTTATCCTATGTTGGTAGGAAAGAGTTTACACTCAGTCATTTATGAATACCGTATAATGTTACCATTTCTTTCAATCTGTAGGCTGGAGTGAAAGGCAGTCTTGGCAGGTGTCTTGGAGTTTTTGAAAACTCTGAAAGGAAACATAGAACATGTGTATATGTGCTGGTAGTCACAGAATTACTTGAAACTTGGGAAGATCAAAAAAATTTTGGTAATAGTTGATTTCTTTACTATCTGCTTTTAGTGCCTATATGTTAACACATTGTCTGCTGAAAGTCTCCATGGGTAGCCAATATGAATGGGAAAAAGTAGTGTTAATTGATACATGTATGAAGTTGTGCTGTCTTAGTCAACTCCATCTTTAGTCACAGCTCAATATTACACTGATCAAAAAACTGTTAATTTTCCCAAAAGAGTGTATGACATCGTTTCACTTCAATTCTTGGAAAAATCTCAAATCATGCCATTTGGTCAATTACAATAATGCTCACTTTTGTTCTTTGTGTTTTACTCGACAGGAAGAATAAGGCAGTGGTTTCCTGTGGATGAAGCATTTGCACACTTGGAATACAAACCCCTACAAAAACTTTTTCTCATAGAAGCATTGAAAAGCAGATGATTCTTGTATCATGGCAAAGCTACTTGATCTTTTAGTCTGTTTGATGGTCAATAATAATTGGTTTAAATAATTTATTCAATCCCTTCTATAAAGTAATACACAGTCAATGCTGTCTCTGATGGAGACAGTTTGATAAGAGTCACTATGTTTTTGAGATAAAATTATAAATATTGCTTATTTTTAAGTCACAACTTTTTTTTATTTTTGACAGTGTTTTGAGGTAATCTGAAGTTTTCTGTTGTTACACTAGGCAGGTCATGATGTCATTTGCCAATCTGAATGTAAGACAAATTCTACAATTTCCAGTATTTTTCATTGTTGTTATAGTGTGTAACAAACAACTTTTTAGGGTTGTGTTTTATCTGTTTCAAACCTAATGTTATGTGAACTTTTTTGTCTGGCATTAATAGAGAAGATACCATATTTAGAATAACAAGTGCTGGTTAACCAACATTAATGGTTAACTAGCAATAATGGTTAACTAGCAATAATGGTTAACCAACATTAATGGTTAACTAGCAATAATCTTTTGTAACTTAGATGTGTCAAGTTATGAGAAAAACTGATGCTGGAGCAGAACTTGGCAATATCTTCCACTTGCTTAAACTATATCAAATGACAACTTTTAATATGTGTCAAACCCCAATACTTACAGCGAAATCATGCTTGTATAATGTGTTTTTGATTTAAAAGGGGGTTACTCAAATCTAACATTGGCTGTTGCAAGATAGAGAAATGACAGTTTATGCCTTTCAAGAACTTGATATTTCCATAATTCTTTGTGTTTTTTAAGAATCATTCCTGATCTTATTTAACATTGAAGGAATAGTTAAGTCTAACAACATAATACTCCCAGATAAAAGAGCTCAGCAAGTGTAAGAACATGCAATTTACAGCTTTTTCATATCACTTTTTATTCTCTAGATATTTAACTTTTCATTAATTTATGTAGTTGAATATCTGGAGAATAAAAAGTGATATACAAAAATAAATAAATCCTACATTTGTGGAGGTTGTTCTTTAGGGAGTATTTTGTCGTTTGACTTGACTTCCCCTTTAAATAGTTTATAACCAGTATTATTATATCAGTACATTTAAAAAATAAAAAGTTCATATATAATATTTCTATTGTAAGAAATAATATTTAGTGAGAGAGGATTCCTGTATAACACTGTTGATTCTTTCATTTCAAAGCAAAACATTTTTTTGAATGATTTTCGTAGTCCATTTCATAAAACATAAATTGTGTTCATCATGATTACCTAATAATTTGTAATAATTGTAATTATCCATCTTAAATCTGCTTTTTTCCAACATATGTACATGTATTCATGTGAAATATTTTGATATGATGTAACATTTTACTATTCAAACCAAATGGTAATTACTCAGAAATGTTTTCATAGATGTTGTGTGAAAAAATAGTTTGGTGAACGTATATTTTTATCTTGCTTTTGTAAACATCATAAATTTAAACCATATTGTAAAAGTCTATGAAATATGACCATGTCTTAATGGTAGCCACCTTGAGGAGTGTCTGATTTTATTATGTGTGTGTCAGTGTTGTTCTTGCTGAAAAAAGGGGTAAAATACTTCGGTTATATGTGTAATTATATCATGTTTATTCTTCAGTGACATAAAACCCTGTAATATTATGAGATTAAGGTAGCGAGAAGGGTTTTGTGACGTTTTCGAATAAATCATTCTCTGTCTGTTGTCTTGTTCAGAAGAGTAATTTAGCTTATATATTTCAAAAGACTAGGTATAGAGGTACAAGTTCGCACAAACTGGACGGTCATTGTTTACATAATTATCACGTGACATAAAAAATGGCGAATCTTGTAAAAATGACTAAGTCCGCGATTGCGAGAGCACACTGCGGAATTTCCTGGTGAAATTTACGTCATGCATTGTCCGTAATCAAGTCCATTGAAAGGCGTCTCCAATAATCGAAAGACCTATTATTCCGATTTCTATGCAGGTTTGTTTTTTTGTGCTCAAATTATTTCATACTTGGCACCTTTAACAGACTATTATTCTGTGGCAAAGCATTTTCTTTAAAAACCCAGACATATTTCGCACCAT